AGGTGAAGAGGTGTGCGTGCGTGCGTGCGTGTGTGTGTGTGTGTGTGTGTGTGTGTGTGTGTGTGTGTGTGTGCGTGTGTGTGAGTGCGTGTGTGTGCGTGTGTGTGCGTGTGTGCGTGTGTGTGTGTGTGTGTGTGTGTGTGTGTGTGTGTGTGTGTGTGTGTGTGTGTGTGTGTGTGTGTGTGTGTGTGTGTGTGTGTGTGTGTGTGAAAAATTTAGTAGTTAGTAACAGTTGATTGAGAGTTGAGAGGCGGGCCGAAAGAGCAAAGCTCAACCACCCGCAAGCACAATTAAGTGAATACAACTACAGAATACACTACAGAGAGAGAGAGAGAGAGAGAGAGAGAGCAAGCAAGCAAGCAAGAGCAAGCAAGCAAGCAAGAGCAAGAGAGACACCACAGTCTGAGGCGCCGGGTCTCAGGCAGGGAAGAGTGTCACCACCGCCGCCGTGTTGGATAAACACATGGCGAGATTGAGCGATAGGACACTTTGACTGTCAGTTTCTCGGTCACTTTGTTTTTCGCCTGTCCACACTTAATCGCCTCCAGTGACTGTGTGGGTTTTGAGACCCACGTGACGGGAGCGTTACTGTAAGTAAGAACAAGAAGAGTTTCTTTATGTTGGAATTCAAACTGTTTGGGCAAATGTGTCCAGTGTTGTTAATAGCTTGAATTTGTTGTAATGATGTAATATTGAGGTGTAGATCCACGCCCACACTTCAAAACCCACGCCCACACCAAAATCCACGCCCTCACACCAAAATCCACGCCCACACCTCAAATCGTCTACCCACTTGCAGTAAATGACATTACCTTGTAATCTACGCCAACACCTCTGCCAATAATGCCTACTCTCGCCCTCCTTCACAACCACCACACCACCTGCAACCCTTCCCACCCACCCATCACTCTGCACCCGTCCCACAGCCCACCCATCACTCTGCACCCGTCCCACAGCCCACCCGTCCCACAGCCCACCCATCACTCTGCACCCGTCCCAGCCCACCCATCACTCTGCACCCGTCCCACAGCCCACCCATCACTCTGCACCCGTCCCACAGCCCACCCATCACTCTGCACCCGTCCCACAGCCCACCCACACACCCACTCCACGCACGTAACTGTCCACCCATGCAGACAGCCGCTGTCACTCAGTATGGGCCGTGTTTGGCAGCCTTGTCAGGTTGTTTTTACAAGTCAGCTGCGAGGGACGTGACTCCGTCCAGGAGTACAAGTCACTCTTCACACCTGTCTCGTGCGCCCTCTGGTGACACTGTCCATCTGTCTACACCTGTCCGCACCTCCATGCAACCTTTTGCACTCGTATTACCGTCAGTAAGAGAGGCGAGACCCAGCAGCAGCAGCAGCAGCAGCTGGTGTCCACTCCCGAGAATTAGACTTGATTCTAGTGGGTAAAGATGCGTAAACATCTGCCCTCACTGCCCGGGTCGTGGTTCCCTCGAGGCCCTGCACGCACTAAGGTGGTCAGCCTCATTATTGTTGTCAGTGTGATGGGGATTTTTTCTCTGTATGAAACCATTGATGGCTGATTGTTTTTATTGTTTGTTTGGGATGTGATAGCGTGTCGTCGTGGTGTTTGAGGACGTCTGATGTCTTTCCTGTTCTCAGTCATACTCTGAACATACAAAGGGTCTTTCATCCATAAATAAACTATTTCATTTGCACAATTAGACTAATTATTTGATGTTTTATTTTCAAATTCTTAATAAATCAATGCTGTGAGCATCTGTTCATTTCCCTGTTCCATAGCCAACATTTCATCACCTTAAGATGCTTCTGTTTATTTAAGGTATAATGATGAAGTCTTGGCACCATTTTTCCCAGTTCATGTTTATTTTGAAGACCAATACTGATTGTGAGAATATGGACCATGTTGTGTGCTTCTTGCCATGATGGCTAGAGACTCGAAGGTTGTGGGGAATTTCTGGATAGATACACTACAAAATACTATAGAATCAAAATACTAAATAAAACTATAGCCTCTTAGCTGTCGTTTGAAATGCAGACAGCTGCCTCTGCTTCCCGGAGACTGTATATAGGGCCAGGTACTCGGTCCTCTTAAAGGATACTATGACTACCACAGGGTAACTGATAGAAGACAACTGAAAATACTTGTAGAAGTTCTGCTCGTATTAGAATTGTAATTGGTACAAAAGATTAAATAATAAAATTGATACACTAACAATTATTAAAACACGAACAATTTATATGAATATATGATATAATTTATAGACTACTTGCTATTTAATTTGGGCTTTGCCTGTTTTATAACGGCTAACAGTTTACGGAAATATTAAGGTTTCAGAACCACGCAAATTGACCAATTAAGCATTCTATAAAACACTTTTATCCAAACTGAGAACAGGAGCCTCGAGTCTGAACTGTAGTTTGATCACTTATCAAACAATGACCAGGACACAACAGTGGCCAGGATCAATGACCAGGCTATTGATCACTTACAGGCTCAGTATTCTGGACACTTAGATGACAGCTTTGCTGTAGGGATAGATCTCAGTGGTGGGGAGGTGGTCCACGCGCTCTGGTGGGCTGCTCTCTACACTCATTATCATAGTTATTTTAATATAATTTTGATCAGTTTATAGTTCAGCACCTCCCTGAGTATCTTGGGGGAGTTATCACTGAAATTAGATTTTTTGTGTGCGCAGTATTAGGTCTTAAAAGTCCCGAACAAACACTGAATGTCAACAAAGCAATGCCCCACCAGGGCGCTTAGAGTCCTGTGCCTCTGTATGCCCTCTAGGCACACCGAGGCCTGTGTGATCTCAGTAGTGTAGGCATAGATACATGACTTAGGATGTATGATGTATGATGTAGGAAGTTCTTCATTTCATTGATTATAAATATCAGTATGGTGGAATTTTCCACAAATGTTACCATGAGCCTTCACAAAAGGACAGATGTTAGGGACATAAGTTTTGTGATTGAAGAGAAGTATTATAGTACATGGTCTATCGAGCTTCAGTTGGTCTACTGGAATATCTATTCCCTGTCTTTTGATTGGGTGTTGAAGTTCCATGACTTGGTCCTTCAAACCACTGAACTGCTATTAAATTATGACATGACGTGTTTGGTGATTAGAAGTGGTAGTCAACACGTCATGTTTGGATATTCCGCCCCCCCCCCCTCTCCTGCTAGTTTATTAAATGGTAATAATTCTGTTGTTACACAAGCTTCGAAAGATTGTTCGTTCATAGTTCGGCAGAATTTTTGTCTAGGTTAGGTTAGGTTGGCTCTACTTGGATCGACCAGGATTGTTCAAGGGGGGTAGGATCGACCAGGATTGTTCAAGGGGGGTAGGATCGACCAGGATTGTTCAAGGGGGTAGGATCGACCAGGATTGTTCAAGGGGGGTAGGATCGACCAGGATTGTTCAAGGGGGATAGGATTGACCAGGATTGTTCAAGGGGGTAAGATTGACCAGGATTGTTCAAGGGGGGTAGGATCGACCGGATTGTTCAAGCGGGGGTAGGATCGATCAGGATTGTTCAAGGGGGGTAGGATCGACCAGGATTGTTCAAGGGGGGTAGGATTGACCAGGATTGTTCAAGGGGGGTAGGATCGACCAGGATTGTTCAAGGGGGATAGGATTGACCAGGATTGTTCAAGGGGGGTAGGATTGACCAGGATTGTTCAAGGGGGGTAGGATCGACCAGGATTGTTTAAGGGGGATAGGATTGACCAGGATTGTTCAAGGGGGATAGGATTGACCAGGATTGTTCAAGGGGGGTAGGATCGACCAGGATTGTTCAAGGGGGATAGGATTGACCAGGATTGTTCAAGGGGGGTAGGATTGACCAGGATTGTTCAAGGGGGGTAGGATTGACCAGGATTGTTCAAGGGGGGTAGGATTGACCAGGATTGTTCAAGGGGGGTAGGATTGACCAGGATTGTTCAAGGGGGATAGGATTGACCAGGATTGTTCAAGGGGGATAGGATTGACCAGGATTGTTCAAGGGGGGTAGGATCGACCAGGATTGTTCAAGGGGGATAGGATTGACCAGGATTGTTCAAGGGGGATAGGATTGACCAGGATTGTTCAAGGGGGGTAGGATCGACCAGGATTGTTCAAGGGGGATAGGATTGACCAGGATTGTTCAAGGGGGGGTAGGATTGACCAGGATTGTTCAAGGGGGGTAGGATTGACCCGGATTGTTCAAGGGGGGTAGGATTGACCAGGATTGTTCAAGGGGGGTAGGATTGACCAGGATTGTTCAAGGGGGGTAGGATTGACCAGGATTGTTCAAGGGGGGTAGGATTGACCAGGATTGTTCAAGGGGAGTAGGATCGACCAGGATTGTTTAAGGAGTTTTAAAGTTTATTCCTCCAAACTATATTATCTTAACCGGAGGCATGCAGCAGACCACACATTATAGTGTAATCATCCCGGTAAACCACACACATCCCGGTAAACCACACACATCCCGGTAAACCACACACATCCCGGTAAACCACACACATCCCGGTAAACCAATTACTAGAATATAATCATCTCAGTTGACTGCATACCATAGTTCAGTCAACCAGGCCAATTACATGCTCTTGTGTAATGAATACAGTCACCGTATATTACAGTAGAACCAACGAAGGTTCTTGAGGATACCCGAGTCTCTTGGGCGCTGTTTTCAACATTTATTTCTCTGAATAACATTTTTGTTTCTATTTCAGAAACTCGGCTAAAACTTGACCAGCTGCATCTTTTATGTTTTCTCTTCGTTACAGACACAATGCGAAAATTATCAAAACCCAAAAAATTAATTACAGGAAGCCATATTTTGTTGTTCAAATTTTAAAATACAATACTTGATGTGAAGCTAATCACACTCTGGTAACAAGATTTAGTTAAGTATAGTCTAACAACGAGCAGTGTTTAAGAGAAGCGTGGAACTCATATTAACTATTACAGACTTAAGAGAATATAACTACTGGTAACCTGCTCACCGTCACTGTTTCCCTGCACAGGACTACGATGTGGACTACGATGGTGTGCCTGCAGAGGTGGGGGAGGTAGGGGTGTCTGGGGGAGTGGAGGGAAGTGAGGGAGAGTGGGAGACGGGAGGAGTGTGGACAGGACCACGGGAGACGGGAGGGGTGTGGACGGGACCGCAGGAGGAGTCACCTGTCACCACCACAGTCACCAGCCTCGGTGTTCGAAGGGCAAAGCCACAGCTAACTATCACTGTCCCGTCTAGTGAAGACCTCACTCATCTGCACGTAAGTGTTTATTTCTCCTCGTATATATCAATTAGCTGAAGCTCTTTACCTACATTTATCGTCTTAATTTCACATTTATTGAAAGTTATAAATATTCCGCTGTTAACCCTTTGACTGCGGCAATAATCTAGTGTGACGCTAGCGTGCAAATTCCAAAATGATCTTGAAATTAAATTTTAAAAGTTTCTTCATTTCAAGGAAGTTAAAAATATATGAAAAATAATTGTTTGGGTATATAATCTAGTATAATCAACCTACATTTTGTAGGTTGATTATACCTTTCATTTTAGCAGCTACTCGGTAACCAGCTTCTCAAACGACTAATGGTGGATGTTGTATACATACATTTTGATAAAGCTTTTATATGGCACCACATGTAAGACTGGCAAGGAAATTACGGGCACAAGGAATAAATGGTAAAATACTAGAAAGGATAAAATAATGGTTAAAACAAAGAAAACAATTAAAGGGTCGTACGAAATGGGAGTGAATCTGACTGGAGAAATGTGGTAAGTGGGGATACCACAGGGGTCCATTTTTGGGCCAACCCTTTTTGTCACATGCATTAATAACGGTAGAATATATATTACGGGCTTACTATAGCCCGTGCTACATGGAAATTTTGTTCCGAGTAGCTGAATCTAAAAACAACAACAGATGAGACTATTATTAACCACTTCATTAAATGTGCAGATGACACAAAGATTTATGGTAAAGTACGAAATGAAAATAATGAAGCCTTACAAAGAGATCCACATAAACTCTACAAATGGTCAGAGGACTGGCAAACGCTTTTTAATATCAACAAGTGCAAGACCCTGCATGTGGGGCATAACAACCCACGCCACAACTACCAAATTTATAACATTTCATTGCAGCAGATTGATGAAGAAAAGGACCTTGGAGTCAAAATCCACCACTCACTAAAAGTTGCACAACAGGTAGGGGCAGTAGTCAATAGCTGACCAAACCCTTGGAATAATCGAGCATACCTTTGACTTTAAGGAAAAGAAGGTAGTGATTCAATTGTATAAATCTCTGGTGCGCCCCCATTTGGACTACTGTATCCAAGCATAGACACATCTCAGAAGGATATAGCTGCCCTGGAGAAAGTGCAACACCGGGCAACAAAAATAATTCCAGAGTTATGTTAATTCTTGTAGAGGGAACGGATAAGGACCACAGAGCTAGCAACACTGCAAACCAGGCATGATAGGGCGGATCTCATTGTAACTTTTAAAATGCTGATTAATTTGGAGGAGGAGGATCCAGACAATTTCTTCAAAAGGTCAGATGCAACACAAACAAGGAACAACGGTTTCAAGCTCAACAAGTTCACATTCAAGAATGTTTATTGAGACAAGAAAATACATCTCAAAGGGATAGAATAGATTTGGCTATTTCTATCCTTCTTTCACAGTGTAGGACTGAGAACAGGAGATGCTTTTTTACCCACAGAGTTATAAACCCATGAAACCGCCTACCTGCTGAGGTTGTAAATGCCAAAACTCTGTTAAATTTTAAATTCAAACTGGAAAAGATCAGGGCAAATTAGGGGGACTTTTGACAAACCGCCTGCTTCTTGTCCCCGTTGAGGCTGCTAAAGGGGCCGGGTACAAAGTTTCTTAACCTTCAATCACTCAATTTTTCTGTGCATAATCTGCATGGTAAATGCTCCAGCCTTTCCTAATGGATCAATATCATAACATGAAGAGGAGAAAACAAAAATATTTTATTTTAAACAAATTTAAAATTTCACAACTTCAAATTAACTTAAAAAATTTAATATTTCGCCATTTTTTATTTTATTCATTATGTGCTCAGAATGGCATATAACATTCATTTTCATCAATATAAAATCAAGTTTGAGATTATAGTTTACTTTAAAAAAGAAGCGTTGAATATAACGAAAGGCCATTTTCTGGGCGAAAACCAGAGGATCCTCAGAGCTAACCAGGCTGATATGAATATATATTAGACTTTGGCATCAATCAATGCACATGGAGTTCTAGGCCTACCAGGGACCACAAGTCAGAACTTGGCCCTCTCAGAGAGGCACGAGGAGCAATGGCCTGTAGAAACCCCCATGTGATTGAAAGCATCCTATGTCTGCCATCGACTGGGTCAGGCAACCAGAAAGGTAAGTGCCCCAAAACAAAGCCCCATTCTGGTTAAAATATTGCTATTGAGAGCCGGACTAGTGGACAGAACTCGCCAAATGAAAAACGAGTAAACAAGCATAACGTTACCACATCACCGTGCGCTGGCTGCACGACCCCCCCCCCCCCCTCCTCCCTGGGATGGGGAAGGGTGAGCCCCAGACCCCCATGCCTGTTATTCAAACCTCTAGTTTTGAGGTTGCATGTCAAAACAAGCTAAAAAAATGCCAACCGGAGGGAGTGAGAGTTGCCGGGGAGCCTCCAGATCTCGCCCAGAAAATGGTGTTTCATCACATGCAACCTGGTTTTCTGGAGGGAGCCCCATCGGTTTCCCGGAGCTACTTACTCAAAGACAAAAATAAGAGGGGCTTACCTGGGAGACAGTCAGCCCCTCGCTCCCTAATGTGAAGTTGAGACAACTGGCCGCAACCACCGACCCAGAGTGACATAGGCCCGACTAGGCACATGAACATTGACAAGGTAGTGAGTGGCCAGGACCCTGTTCTACCTCCAAAAACCTCGTGCCCGGTTGTCTGCCCAAAACATGTTACCAAGAATGGCAGCAAGCACAACAAACTTACCAACGTCATGGGTACAAGGATAGACCGCAGGCTGACTGGACCGAATTACCCTGCGAACGACCTGGGAGTCCTGAACCATGGAACAGGGAAGAAGGGAAACCAGGTCAGCCCAAAGCATCCCTGGCCACAGAGACCGTGGCCACTAAGAGCCGCAACCAGACACAACACATGATGCACCCCCAGCCTAACCAACCAAGCATCAACAACTCAAGGATCCTTCTGGAAAACAGCAGTCACATTCTTCACCAGAAAGGAGGAGATGGCTACAAAAAAACAAACCTACTACCAGGACCAAAAGAGCAAAAGCCTCTGCGCCAGAGAAGAGCATGAAGATCCCCAACCAGATCCCCAGAGGCCAGTGCCAACAAGAAAAGAGCCCTCACCAAACAAACCTGAACTGAAGGGACCTCCACAAACTGAGGAGAAGAGAGAAAGGAGAGCACCCGGTTCATCGACCAGGACGGCTCAGGCGGCGCATGAGCAGGCTGGAGGTGAAACAACGCATGAGACAGCTTGTGGAATGGTGAAGACATAACATTAATGCAGACTAAGGCACGTCTGGGATCATCCCGGACCAGTTGGAACCCTCATCACGCCTCTTGGGGATTTGTTCAAAGGAAGGACAACCTTATCAGACAGAAGTAAACCTACGAAGGGATGAGAAATAACGAAAGAACCGCCAGGAAACTTCATAATGCCACCGAGATGAAGCACGCAGGTGGGACACCATCAACGAAGCCACCTGCGCACCATATAAGTGGTGATAGACCTGCGTCAGAAAGACCAGACGCAAAGGCTGGAGAAGATCGAACCAGCTACATAACAGACTGACCCGATCTGCTGAAAGTGGCAGAGCCGTGGGAAAACCCCCCGGGCTCAGACACCGAGCAAGCAGCTTCTGAAACTAAGGCTGGGCCGGTCACCAAGAGGCCAAGAGGACTACTCTCCCTAGAGGCCACCCAACACCACCGGAGACCGCACGAAACGACTCGAAAAGCCCATAAATCGTGGGACCAGGCATGAGCAAACAACGCAAGCCTCTTCCCCCCCCCCCCCCCAACATTGTTTGGTCAATGGGACGAACCGTAAAAGGGTCGATGCCCCTTATATGAACCCAATCTCCGCACAGAGCAATCACCTCGCCAAACAGCAAGGAACAAGGGAAAAGGTGAAGTAAACCTAAGAGCCAGGGGCCCAAGCGGATTCCACAGAGAAAGCAAGCACTGCTTGCTAACACAAGAGATGTAAAGCAAAAAACAGCGACACCGTATCCCACAGGATCGGCACAAAAGAGCAGACAACGCTCGCACTGCCGAGACCAACACACCTGACTCATGATCGGCCCCAAGAGCCTCCACATCCTCCTCGAGCCAGTCCGAGGACAGCTTGAGAAGAGAAAAGAACTGCAAGACCGATGCCAACAGGCCACGGGCGCGCAAGTCCTCAGTGACCAGCGCAGGTCGGTGGTCACTTTGAGGTGCTCAAAGTCGCCCACCCCCCACCCCCTGGGAAAACCTGGACCACCATATGAGCCTCGCGCCACTCAAGTGCACGGGACCGACAACGAATGCCACGCCTCTAACGGAAAAAGGGGCAGTCCACAAGCCAGGACGAATTCAGAACCTCTCAACAAAGCCAGTAAGGAAAAGAAGATCCAGACGAGAAAAAAGTAGGTCTTTTATAGAGGTGTAATCCGGGTTGTGCAAGAGGTAAGCCACAATGGCCTCCCACACCACATGAGGTGGGATGCGGGAGGCTGAAAACCTCTGGAAGTACGGGACTGAAGAACCCAAGGGAGCACGGAACCGAACCCGGGAAGGGGTAGATGCCAAATCCAACTCGTACAAGGAGGAAGGAACAGAAAACCCCACTCCTTGCAACAAGAAGCCCCCACTCGGAAGGTACAAAAACCCAAGCGTGGTCCAACAGGCCCCAAGGCCCCCAAGACTATTCCTCCACCCCGGGAACCTCCCCATGAGGACCCGGGACCGAACCATCCTCCAAACCCCCCTGCCTCTAAAGAAAAGGCAGAACCAGCCAAGAAAGCAGGAACAAAGGGGGCCCACTGGTCAGACCCAGAAGCTCCGGCTGGAGAAACATGCTCGATTGCCTCCATAACTACACCGGAAGGCGCATCCCCCCAAAACCGCCCGAGTCTCAACACCAACTAAACCCTGTCCCGACTCCGAAACCCTCAGACGCTTTGGAGCCGAAAGCAGGAGGAGGAGGTGGGGGGGGGGGCGGTTACGAACAACAAAATAAGGTAAAGACTAGGGGGTGTGGACTGAACTAAAGTTGAAGCGACCAAAACGGGGGAGTCTCGGGGCATCCGGGTAGCAACCAACCTAGCGCGCTGCAGCAACCTAAAACGATTATGCAATGCCGAAGCTGCCTGCACCCGAAGATCATGAACAGTGGACTGGGTGAATTGGGGTACAAACAAGAAACAAAACTTTCAGGACTCCGGGTCGAAGGTATCACCGACCGAACAGGCAGCATGACCGAGGCATAACCAGTGAGTGTTACCCTGAGAAAAGGGGACAGAACAACCTTCAAACTCGCATGAAACGAGAAGAGACCCAGGGGGGGTGTATCCATTGGACCAAAGAGCCATCGCAGGGTTTCTCACGGCTCTTAGTCGTGTATCTCGCTAATAATGCCCAGGCAGGGTTAACCGGCACCCAAGATTACCAAGCAAACTGCTAAAAGCTGAACCCCCAAGACGTGTACACTCACGGGGGCCTAGTGGAGGACCACCGAGATATAAATGGGTGTGACCAAAACCAAGTGGCAGACCCCCTACCAGGCAGAAAAACAAAAGAAAAACCCCGCAAAGGACAACGTACCCAGGCTGAACAGTGCCGGCTGCAATGAGAGGTGAAAACTAGCTGCACAGTACCATGCCCCCTAACCAGTGGCAAAACTACCCCTACCCTGAGGCAAACAGTGGTGCAGGAACCACCAATGCTGATTCTAAGGGCGGTCAGTCACCGAGCAGCAAAAGACCTTGAGGAGGTAGACCCCCCAAGGTGACTTTTGGAAGGTGGCCCCCAAGGCCCAAGTGCAGTACTTACAGGGCACCGAGGGAAGGGGACCCTAGGAGCATACAGCCCGAGTAATTGTGAAATTACTCCTGGCTTGCGCACCACCTAATAGACAAGACCACACCACAGGGCACAGAACTGGAAAACACAGGAGCCAGAGGCGCACGACCTTGCCAGTTCACATCAGCTACAGAATTGGGGGTTTGGATAGCTGGCAAGGGAGTCTAGGGGCTCCTCCTTCCCACTCCGGGGGAGGTGAGGAGACGGGGTGGCACAGACAGCGGCACGGTGACGTCATGCTTGTTTGTTCGTTTTTATTTGGGGAGTTCTGTCCACTAGTTCGGCTTTCAGTAGCAATATTTTCACCAGAATAGGGGTTTGTTTTGGAGCGCCTACCTTTCTGGGTGCCTGACCCAGTCGAAGGCAGACATAGAATGCTTCCAAAACAACCACAAGAGGGTTTCTATAGGCCATTTCTCCTCGTGCCTCTCTGAGGGGCCAGGTTCTGGCGTGTGGTCCCCGGTAAGTCTAGAACTCCATGTGCATTGACATGCCAGAGTCTAATATATTCATATCAGTCCGGTCAGCTCCAGGGAGGCGACGGGGCTCCCCCCAGCCCCAGAAAAAGTCAATGTGGCCTTCAAAATATGCCCAAAATTTAGACGCAAAAATTTATAACTCCCAAAGTTATGGGTTTATGAATAAACGACATTAATGACACCTTAGAACTAAGCACTGTGCACAAATGTAAAAATAATGAGAATCGCTCGGAAACTTAACTGTAGGTTGTCTCAAAGTTGAAAATTTTTCATACAGAAAAAATAAGTTAAATTTCTCAACAATGAATATAGTACTTCGAATTTATGACATATTTTGTATGTTTTAATAAGTATTGGTTGGCATTCTTACTCGAATATGTGCAAGTTGTAGGCCAAGATGTGTTGAAATTGATGTCCAAAGAGCTTGGAAAGGATGTGGGAGGAAGAAGGATGGGGCGATGAAATTCTTGGAAGAGGATTTGGATGTGGAGAGAGGAGGCTTGAAAGTTCGGTGGCCCGTCCACCTTGGATTGGAGATGTTTTTTCAGTCAAAGCCTGTAGCTTAAGTTCTTCTTGGGCGGCAGGAGGCTAGTGGTGGGGCAGGGTGATGTCGTCCTGGTTCACTTGAGGTGGTCTGTCTGGCTTGGAGGAGGCGTCTTCCTTATTGAGGTGGTGAGAGGTAAGTTCACTGTTGCTTGGTGGTGTCTTGGCCACGAGGTATTCGCATGTACTTCCCAAATGACAGCGGTGGTATTGGTGTTCCTGTCTGGTCTTCATCTTCTTCCAGGAAGGTCACTTGTCCCCTCTTGAAGTCGAATTTAGGGTCGATGTATTCACTCTCCAGAGCGCAGAGGTCTACATAATGTTCCACGGTCTCGTGGTGGACAAACACAGGGTAAGGAATGCAGGTCTTGAGCTGGTTGATGATCCTGTTGCATTCTAAGGCAATGACCATTCTTGTGCTTCGATTGCCGTTGAAAGTGCCACCGTGATTGAGGTAAAGTCCATAGTAGGGCTTTTTCTTGCTTGATTTGCTTGGGTTTAGGTCGAAGTCTGGGGCCTCATATGTGACAGTCTCACCCGAGGCAGATGGAAGCAGTGGTGCTTCTAGGAACTCTGGTGCTGGTTCTGGTTCTGAATCTGATTCTGATTCCACTTGCCGACGTTTTGCTTTCCTTTTCATCCGTCCCCGGCTGGTGGGGGCAGGTGATGAGGTTGACTGGTCTGCTGTGGAGGTGGTCAGGGTGGATGCTGTTGCCTGGGTGACTTGTGCTGGGTTCGACTCCGGTGGTGGTGGTTGCGGTATGACTGCAGTTACTGTTGGTGTTGGAATCTCGTCTGTTCGGGTTGAAGCAGCGTTGTGATGTTGAAATAGGTCTGCTGGTATCAACATTGTAGGCAGGTTGTTCTGGGCGAGCAGCCTGTTCAGTACTCTCACGTATTTTGCGTTGTCTGTTCCCGCCTCCCTCTCAGCTACACTGATCAGGCATGGGATGAGAGTGGTGTTGGTCGAGGCCGCTGATTGGTTGACAGTCAAGTTGGTTGGCTGAGCTGCAGTCGCCTGTGTCCTGGGTCCCCATTGGGGGGTGGTCTGGCCTGGTGTGGACGTCTGTGTAGCAGAAGCAGAAGCGTTGGGAAGCACTGGAAACGATGTAGCTTGGATATTGAAGCTCGCCGGCTGATTGGTTGTTGGGTTGGCAGTTACTGTTTTATTTATTTCATCTAGTCGTACTTGGCAGTCCATGGAGACGGCGATGTGAGCTCCTCCACAATTGAGGCACAGTTTGGTGGTTGACCGGCAGGTTTTGAAGTGATGATCCTGGGTACAAATGCTGCATTTAACCTCTGCTTGTTGGCAGTTCTTGGTATCATGATCGTACTTGTAACACTTAAAGCACTGGCGAATGTTGTAGTAACGTTCCTTCTTTACAGTGTCAGGTGTGATGGAAATATCCAGGCATCTAAATCCATTTTCCACAGCTTGGGTCGCTGCAGCAGCTGTTGTGAAGGTGACCTTGAGAGTAGGCCTAGGGTTGTCGTCGTTCTTGATGACCTTGACTGTAGCAGCAGTCAGAGCCGGGTTTCTGGTGTTGATACTATCAAGTATGGTGCCAGGGTCCTGGGTGGCGATGTAGACACTCGTGTGGCTGACGAAGATGGTTCGTTCAGCCAAGTAGCGACGGTTAGGAGTGATGATCAGGTTGGAGTTTCGTAGGGCGTCCTGGTGTTCTGGTGCAAACAGTTGCTCCAGAGCTTGCTCGCTTGAATAAAGAAGTACAGCGCCGTCAGCATCGTCACGGATGTCCAACGGGGCTGCATTCGTGATGTCGACGATTTTCCTTAGTAATTGGGGCCCGGTGTAGGTGGTTTCGTCACGAAACCGGACCTTTATGCGGTAAATCATGGCTCTAATCGTTGCTGCCCAATGTTTACCCACCCACTGTGAGGCACCTGTGTACCCGTCTTGATCACTGTGAGGCACCTGTGTACCCGTCTTGATCACTGTGAGGCACCTGTGTGCCCGTCTTGATCACTGTGAGGCACCTGTGTGCCCGTCTTGATCACTGTGAGGCACCTGTGTACCCGTCTTGATCACTGTGAGGCACCTGTGTGCCCCACAATGATCACTGTGAGGCACCTGTGTGCTCGCCACTTCCTCCCGTGCTCATTCAACCGTTGTATATATCGGCGTCTATCTCCATAGTACTTAACCCTCACCACTTATTTCCTTCTCAATGCGAGTCCCGAAGTGGCCGCGAATTTCCTCTCACCAACGATTCAGGAAAATAAATTTCAAGAGATCCTATGGTGATTTGTTCTTTACATAGGCGCTATAAACCCTGGAATATCCTGTCAATTTCCAGACAGTTCTTCACTTTAAAATTTGTCTTGAAACAATTCTTAGGTGTCATGAGGGGGCTGTTGACAAGGTACTGGCTTCCTGTCTCAGTCGAGACCACTAGGTACCGTGGCCTTCATGTAAATTTAGGTAAATTAGGGAAAGGAGTGGCAGGTGGTATATAAGACTGTGTCCTCACCAGGGAGGAGGAGTGGGAGACAGGGCCCGACCGCCTCACAGGTCCCCGGAGCAGCGCCGGAGGAAAATCTCACCGTCACAGGTACTCCCGCCAGGCTCTGTTTGTTTACCTTGCGCACGCTTCCATGTTTTTGTTTACTTGTGACGTCGCTTGGGCTGCCTTGTGCTGATAGAAGTCGTGTGAATCATGGCGTCAGTGTTTACCTGTGAAGTCACCCTCGCCTTCTCTATTTATACTTCAACTGTCACTCTGGCCCTCTTTGTCCCGGCTTATTATAGTCCGCTGCTTATACTTGTGCTCTCCAGGTGTTAATGATGCATAACATTGTAGATTACTATTTTTCTGTGCTTAATTATGCCATAATGTTCTAGTTATTGGTTGCTTTATTTGAAGCTTTATTTGAACTCAGTTTCTCCCACCCCAGTTGGACCCCGGAGTGCTCTGCTCGCTGCCCATGACGCCTCCCTCAGCACGCAGACCTTCACACTGGACCAAGGTGAAGAAGGCCTTCCTTACCACGCAGCAGCAACAGCAACACGCCAAGTCCAGCATCCACCTCACGGCTCTGGGGGGATCCTCCTCCCTCCCTCCCTCACCCAGCAAGAAGTCATCCTTTAACTTCGATGGTCCGCCACATTTGGGTGAGTCGTGTGTTCTGACATGCCTCGGTGGGTCGTGTTCCCAGCCCGTCCTCATAACCAAAGACCCAAAGTCCATTCCATGCACCCGCCCACCCCACCCCCCTCCCCTGTTTATGAATGAAAAATGGTTTACACACGACTCACAACTGATGACGTCCGAACACTTCTGGAACAAGTGCTTCGCTGACGACTTTTGGTCGAACCACAACGCTGTAAATGCTTCACCCACGGACTACAAATACATATAATCTCCAACAGAACCTAAACAGCTAACCTAGCCTAACTGGTGCCTAAATATTGACAGTATGCTAATATATATCAAAATCAACCCGTCCTCCTGTTTAGATTGTGACCATCTTATGGTCACGAATTAGTACGTACTTAGCGTTTAGATGATAGAATACTTACTAATAAGGAATTCTTTTAAAATAAATGAAGCTAAAAAAAACACTTCAATATTCCAAGGCCCAGTATAGCACATATATGTACTATATTACGCCTCAGATATCGTGTATTAGGCCTAGGTAGGAAGGTTAGGTTAGTTTGTCTTTGCAACACAAATAAAAATAGTTTTCCGGTTTGTCCAACCCAATATTGCCGATTTCTTCTTTTTACTTGTGTTGTAAGTCGGTGTATGTACTATGGTCCTCGGCGTTACTATAAGTATTACCAAGACATCAGAATGGCTTCTAATATTAATATACACTTGAAAAAAAATCCTATTATAAATGAACAACATGTTAAAATGGAGGAATGTGTCTTTGGGGTCGACCGCTGGATGGAATGGACTTGGTCTAAGGATGGGTTGCAGTCGGGTGTAAACCGTTCGTTCATTCATAAGCGGGTTTGGCGGCTGGATTAACGAGCATTTGTTGTTAAGGTTGGGCTGTATTACCCGCAGTTTGAAGGTTGTCTGTCACCCGAGGGACCTGCAGGCCACCACCACCACCACCACCACCACTGGTGGTCAGTGGCCACTACCACCACCACTGGTGGTCAGTGACCACCACCACAGCCAGCCTCGGTGTGACAGGTACCACACAACAGGTTACCACCAGCCTCTACGGTACCAAGTGTCCTTATAATACCAAGAGTCAATTTTCGGGGGTAGTATTAAGTATTAGTTCCTTAGTGCAATTCGTATTCAATATCTGTGTGTGGAATGCATCAAAGATTTTACTTGAAGTATAGTCAGGTGCATCTTAGAGTAACTTTAGACGCAATCTTTTGCACTTGCGAGCCTGAATTTACCTGAGAGCCACTGTCTCTAGTGGCATCGACGAGGAAAGGAGGCCGGCGGCTTGTCAAAAGTCACCCACCCATTTGTCTTGACTTTCATCTTATTTAGATATCGTTTTCCGGCTTATTCGCCAATCTCGGCCAAGAGGAGCTTGGCCAGGAGAGTCGAGGAGAGTGTCTCGCCCAGGAGAGTCCGCCAGAACATTAGTCATCCAGCAATCCTTCACCACTTGCACAAACACTCTTGCTTTTGTAAACATTGCCTGTACCAGGACCAGTGAGATCCCTGCTTGGCACTACCACCCCCCTGGCACTACCCCCTGGCCCCCCCCCCTGGCACTACCCCCCCCTGGCACTACCCCCCCTGGCACTACCCCCCCTGGCACTACCCCCCCTGGCACTACCCCCCCTGGCACTACCCCCCCCTGGCACTACCCCCCTGGCACTACCCCCCCTGGCACTACCCCCCATGGCACTAACTCCCGTGGCACTACCCCCCCCTGGCACTACCCCCCCCTGGCACTACCCCCCCATGGCACTAACTCCCGTGGCACTACCCCCCCCTGGCACTACCCCCCATGGCACTACCCCCCCCCCCTGGCACTACCCCCCATGGCACTACCCCCCCCCCCCCTGGCACTACCCCCCATGGCACTAACCCCCTGGCACTATATGTATCAACCATTGTAAACTACATGTTCCATACACGTACGTAGCTACCAGTGTAAACCACATACCCTCATACACAGCTACCAGTGTAAACCACATACCCCACATACGCAGCTACCAGTGTAAACCACATACCTCACATACGCAGCTACCAGTGTAAACCACATACCCCACATACGCAGCTACCAGTGTATACCACATATGCAGCTACCAGCATATACCACATACCCCCCACATTCGCAGCTACCAGCGTATACCACATACCCCCCACATACGCAGCTACCAGCGTATACCACATACCCCACATACACAGCTACCAGCATATACCACATACCCCACATACGCAGCTACCAGCGTATACCACATACCCCACATACGCAGCTACCAGCGTATACCATATACCCCTACATACGCAGCTACCAGCATATACCACATACCCCTACATACGCAGCTACCAGCGTATACCACATACCCCACATACGCAGCTACCAGTGTATACCACATACCCCACATACGCAGCTACCAGCATATACCACATACCCCACATACGCAGCTACCAGCGTATACCACATACCCCACATACGCAGCTACCAGCGTATACCACATACCCCACATACGCAGCTACTAGTGTATACCACATACCCCACATATGCAGCTACCAGTGTATACCACATACCCCACATACGCAGCTGCTAGTGTATACCACATACCCCACATACGCAGCTACCAGTGTATACCACATACGCAGCTACTAGTGTATACCACATACCCCACATACGCAGCTACCAGCGTATACCACATACGCAGCTACCAGCATATACCACATACCCCACATACGCAGCTACCAGTGTATACCACATACCCCACATACGCAGCTACTAGTGTATACCACATACCCCACATACGCAGCTACTAGTGTATACCACATACCCCACATACGCAGCTACCAGTGTATACCACATACCCCACATACGCAGCTACTAGTGTATACCACATACCCCACATACGCAGCTACCAGCGTATACCACATATCCCACATACGCAGCTACCAGTGTATACCACATACCCCACATACGCAGCTACTAGTGAATACCACATACCCCACATACGCAGCTACTAGTGTATACCACATACCCCACATACGCAGCTACCAGCGTATACCACATACCCCACATACGCAGCTACCAGTGTATACCACATACCCCACATACGCAGCTACTAGTGTATACCACATACACCACATACGCAGCTACTAGTGTATACCACATACCCCACATACGCAGCTACCAGTGTATACCACATACCCCACATACGCAGCTACTAGTGTATACCACATACCCCACATACGCAGCTACCAGCGTATACCACATATCCCACATACGCAGCTACCAGTGTATACCACATACCCCACATACGCAGCTACTAGTGTATACCACATACCCCACATACGCAGCTACTAGTGTATACCACATACCCCACATATGCAGCTACCAGCGTATACCACATACCCCACATACGCAGCTACCAGTGTATACCACATACCCCACATACGCAGCTACTAGTGTATACCACATACCCCACATACGCAGCTACTAGTGTATACCACATACCCCACATACGCAGCTACTAGTGTATACCACATACCCCACATACGCAGCTACTAGTGTATACCACATACCCCACATACGCAGCTCCTAGCGTATACCACATACCCCACATACGCAGCTACTAGTGTATACCACATACCCCACATACGCAGCTGCTAGTGTATACCACATACCCCACATACGCAGCTACCAGTGTATACCACATATGCAGCTACTAGTGTATACCACATACCCCACATACGCAGCTACCAGCGTATACCACATACGCAGCTACCAGCATATACCACATACCCCACATACGCAGCTACCAGTGTATACCACATACCCCACATACGCAGCTACTAGTGTATACCACATACCCCACATACGCAGCTACTAGTGTATACCACATACCCCACATACGCAGCTACCAGTGTATACCACATACCCCACATACGCAGCTACTATGGTATACCACATACCCCACATACGCAGCTACCAGCGTATACCACATATCCCACATACGCAGCTACCAGTGTATACCACATACCCCACATACGCAGCTACTAGTGAAATCAACATACCCCACATACGCAGCTACTAGTGTATACCACATACCCCACATACGCAGCTACCAGCGTATACCACATACCCCACATACGCAGCTACCAGTGTATACCACATACCCCACATACGCAGCTACTAGTGTATACCACATACGCCACATACGCAGCTACTAGTGTATACCACATACCCCACATACGCAGCTACCAGTGTATACCACATACCCCACATACGCAGCTACTAGTGTATACCACATACCCCACATACGCAGCTACCAGCGTATACCACATATCCCACATACGCAGCTACCAGTGTATACCACATACCCCACATACGCAGCTACTAGTGTATACCACATACCCCACATACGCAGCTACTAGTGTATACCACATACCCCACATATGCAGCTACCAGCGTATACCACATACCCCACATACGCAGCTACCAGTGTATACCACATACCCCACATACGCAGCTACTAGTGTATACCACATACCCCACATACGCAGCTACTAGTGTATACCACATACCCCACATACGCAGCTCCTAGCGTATACCACATACCCCACATACGCAGCTACTAGTGTATACCACATACCCCACATATGCAGCTACCAGTGTATACCACATACGCAGCTGCTAGTGTATACCACATACCCCAAATACGCAGCTGCTAGTGTATACCACATACCCCACATACGCAGCTACCAGTGTATAACCACATACGCAGCTACTAGTGTATATACCACATACCCCACATACGCAGCTACCAGTGTATACCACATACCCCACATACGCAGCTACTATGGTATCCACATACCCCCCATACGCAGCTACTAGTGTATACCACATACCCCACATACGCAGCTACCAGCGTATACCACATATCCCACATACGCAGCTACCATTGTATAACCACATACCCCACATACGCAGCTACTAGTGTATACCACATACCCCATACGCAGCTACTAGTGTATACCACATACCCCACATACGCAGCTACTGTATACACCCACATACCCCACATACGCAGCTACCAGCGATACCACATATCCCCCATACGCAGCTACCAGCGTATACCACATACCCCACATACGCAGCTACTAGTGTATACCACATACCCACATAACCAGCTACTAGTGTATACCACATACCCCACATACGCAGCTACCAGCGTATACCACATATCCCACATACGCAGCTACCAGTGTATACCACATACCCCACATACGCAGCTACCAGTGTATACCACATACATACCCCCCACATACGCAGCTACTAGTGTATACCACATACCCCACATACGCAGCTACTACATATACCACATACCCCACATATGCAGCTACCAGTGTATACCACATACCCCACATACGCAGCTACTAGTGTATACCACATACCCCACATACGCAGCTACCAGTGTATACCACATATCCCACATACGCAGCTACCAGTGTATACCACATACCCCACATACGCAGCTACTAGTGTATACCACATACCCCACATACGCAACGCGCTACTAGTGTATACCACATACCCCACATACCGCAGCTACCAGCGTATACCACATACCCAGCTACCAGTGTATAAACACATACCCCCCATACGCAGCTACCAGTGTATACCACATACCCCACATACACAGCTACTAGTGTATACCACATATCCCACATACGCAGCTACTAGTGTATACCACATACCCCACATACGCAGCTACCAGCGTATAACACATACCCCACATACGCAGCTACCAGCGTATAACACATACCCCACATACGCAGCTACCAGCGTATACCACATACCCCACATACGCAGCTCCTAGCGTATACCACATACCCCACATACGCAGCTACCAGCGTATACGCGCTACACATACCCCACATAGCTGCAGCTACCAGTGTATACCACCCCACTACGCAGCAGTATACCCACTACGCAGCTACTAGTGTATACCACATACCCCACATACGCAGCTGCATACGCAGCTACTAGTATACCACATACCCCACATACGCAGCAGTGTATACCACATACCCCACATACGCAGCTACAGTGTATACCATATCCCACATACGCAGCTACTAGTGTATACCACATACCCCACATACGCAGCTACCAGCGTACCACATACCCCACATACGCAGCTACCAGTGTATACCACATACCCCACATACGCAGCTACCAGTGTATACCACATACCCCACATACGCAGCTACTAGTGTATACCACATACCCCACATACGCAGCTACTAGTGTATACCACATACCCCACATACGCAGCTACCAGCGTATACCACATATCCCACATACGCAGCTACCAGTGTATACCACATACCCCACATACGCAGCTACTAGTGTATACCACATACCCCCACATACGCAGCTACTAGTGTATTCCACATACCCCACATACGCAGCTACCAGCGTAATACCACATACCCCACATACAGCTACCAGTGTATACCACATACCCCACATACCAGCTACCAGTGTATACCACATACCC